AATAAATTATGGCAAAAAAAATTATAAAAATAAATTGACATTTGAAAATTTTTAAAACTAAAAAATGCAATTTTTTAAAAATGATTTTTGGGACAAATTTTTTCGTTAAATAAAATTAAAAAAATGTTGAGTGACTGCTAACTTTAATGTCATTCATTTGACACAGATGCATACGAAATGTTTATGATACAATAGATCTTTTTTATTATAATTAATAAATTAATAATTATTAATTTATCAATTATAATTAAATTATAATAATTAAATTTAAGAATGACACTGAAGTTGACAGACATTAAAAATTTTTTTTAAATTTTATGGCAATTAAATTATTATAAAAAAAAATTTAATTAAAAAATTCCACATTTGAAAATTAATAAAAATAAACAATAAATTAGTATATACAACTTTCCTATGATCTAAACAAACACGCCAGGACTGTGAAATTGGAGGGAAGTCAGAGAATTGGCGGCGCCACCGCTGCGGTTGCTATGGTAACGCAGTATAAAGTTTTAGCTCCAGAAAAAAATTAGGTATTCTCAGGAGAATAATACCAGTTTTTTTATATCAAGAAAACGTATATTGGATATAAAAAAACTTGCATAAAAATACTTTGTATTCTGGGTGGAAAAAAACTTTTTTTTCAGTGTAGAAAAAATATATAATTGACGGTAAATTTGACAAGTTCATATTTATGCATGGCCTAAAGAGCTTATTCGTTATTGACTTTTAGTTTGATCAATGAATAAATCAGTTTTTGTTCAATAGTAAATGTTAAGTGGTGTACAAATTTATAAAAAAGTTATTTATTATAATTGTCTTAATTTTATCCATGAAAAAAATTTTTTTAGCCATAAAAAAATATTCTAACATCATTTTACCACCGAAAATTTTTCAACTACTTGTGGCAGTGTTAATTTATAAATTTAGACAAAATTTGAGTATTGAAATCCTTTTTTAAAGTTTACATTTATATAAAAAAAATAATCCCATTTTATATTTTATATACGAAATTAACTGAAATGTTATTTTTGATTTGAGTCAATTGAAGCATATAGAAACTTAAATTATAAACAGAAAACCGATTTACCCCACTTAGTTTAATTTCCCGTTTGAATTTCAACAATAGCTTGTAATTGAATAATTAATCGGCAACTTACATTACAATTTTCTACGAGTCAAGCATATTATTTGAAAAACGGTCGACTAGTAAAGATAAGCTGATGATTTAGAGATGCTCATAGATAGAATAAAAACATGGAAATCCCTTTATACAACCAAACATATATAGAGATATATGAAACGTGTCGGTGCTGAGAATAGAATCCAACAACACAACCAGAGAATAGTTATCTATCTATCTATCCATAGATATATAACTTAACTAGTAAGAGCACTGAATAAACCATAAAGCATAAAGCGTAGAACTTAGAGTACTATACTATGTATATAGGAGCATAAGTAAAAATGCCACGCGACCACGTAGAGAGCGGACAAAGACCTGTCGACCCAAAAGAGCCCATAGTTCGCACTACAACCAGATGTCCGGCAGATAACCTCCACGACAACTTGAATTATTCTCGTCTGTTCAACCTGACTAAAAACTCTTTGGGAATAACAGAGATAACTTTTAATAGCTTTATTAACTGTGGGAAACGACCACTAAATGTCCATATGAATTTCGGCTTTTATAAATTATATAGACGCATTTTTAATATATTCCACGAATTGCTCGCCATTATACGTTAAATTAAATTCATTCATAAAAGTTATATTGTTTGCATATAAATTTAAAACCATTCTCTAATTCTAGAGCTCAAAACTTACATTAACTATTTTTATTTTTTTTTTTTGTTTGAAGAGCATTCTTGGTCTTTATATAGAGGCGCCATCTTCTGGCGTTATCTTATCAGCTGACATAATCTGCAATGTCGCCTTAGATTTGACGTTTTATGTTATGCTTCAAGGAGATCTTTTCAAGGTACCAAAGGACTTAAAACTTGTGAGAAATCCATGATTATTATAATTAACTTTGTACTTTATTTTATGTAAAAATATATAACAGTTTAATTACTTCGTTTGCATAAAAATTTTTCACCATATATGCTAATGATTTTACAACAAATTTCAATTTACATTTTATAGTGTAAATAAATTTTCGTATTCTTCAATTAAACATTTTTAACAGGAAAAAATCAAATTATGAAAAATTTAACGTTTAAGTTTTTATCAAAAATCGATAATTTTTTTTTATCCCTCATTTCTAGATAATATCTTATATTAACGAAATTTTCTTTGATTTTTAAATTTCTATGTTTCAAACTGAAGATATTATGCTCACCGCAAGTAAACATTTTTTTTGATCTTCTATATTAGGAATTAGAAAAATCGTCATTTGTAAAAAAATAATAATGAATAAAGCTCAAAGTCACTAATATGTGTATATCTATTTTCATATTAATCAATTGAATAGCTTCATTACAAAAAATGATTGAGAAATCGCTTTTTTCGGTTTTTTAAGTGTTTCAGTTAAAGTTTTAATTAAAACGAAAAATTTCTTAGTTCTAAAATTTTTCAACTCAAATTAAAACGATAAATTTCTTCAATACTATTTTCTTGATTTAAGTTAATTTTTTTTTTTTTTTTAGTGTACAACTATTAAATGAATCTAATCAGGAAAGAAAGAGTTTATGACATATTACTCTATGTATGACGGGGGGGGGGGGTCGATTCAACAACATACACAAGAGTGTAAGGGTGTAGAAAATTTGATGAAAGATGATGAAATTGATGATTGAATGAACGCAATGGCCCGTCGATTAATCGATACGACACACCCTATGCAATCACGGCCCCGACTCTGCATCAGAGACTGATCTAGATAAGGCCAGATCGATTTTATCAGTTTCGCACGTAATTACGCGTGTTGGGACACAAAGACCAGTATTGCGGGTTGATTTAAGTGTCTTTATAAGATACAGCACGCCCCTATAAACATTTACACTCTTATCAATCTATAGAAGCCAATATTTTTACTTCTTTTTCAAGAATTTATGGAGAATAAATCATTTATTATTTTGATTTAAAGTACAAAAAATTTGGAAAATAAATTGATGTAATGTACTTTTTTGTACGTTTATTCTATCTGTATTGAGAACCGTGGGACATAGTTTAACAAAAAAGTTCAAGGGCTATTGTTAAAACTCAAGGGCCTGTCGAGGGCCCTCGAGAGTGCGTAGTTGCACATTTTAAGTTTGTATACTTCAAGGTATCAATAAGTCGATGTTTATTAAACATATTTGTTTTATTATAAATTTAATATAAGAAAAATAGTTTGAATATTTTTTTTAAGAATTTTCAAGCCTTTGTTATAGTTTTTTCATGAGAAATTAAATTTTATCAAACATTTTACTATCGACCTTTAGTCATATGCACTTAAAATTCTAACGTCATTACTCGTGTTGTGGAGAATTACCGCAATATTTTATAGTTTGATAATATTATACTGTCAAGCGCATTTTAAATGCATTTTAAATGCGTATTTTAAACGCATTTTAAAAGCTTGATTTTAAGCTCAAATAATTTTTAAGTTCCATTAAAATTTTTTTTATTAATCCATGACAGGCAAACATCCAAACCGTATTTCTCTAACAATATTGCGGGTAAAAAAAATAGTACAATTTACTTTAAAGTATCCAATGAAGGCAAAGAAATTTTTTTGTTTTTAAATTAAAGCTCTAATAATTCTGCGTGAGATAGATATTAATTTTGAAACAATTTACTAGTATAAAAATAACATTTAAGACGAACAAAGTCTGTAAAATTCCAGTGAAGTTAAATTTTAGGAATGGGTACTTTTTACCCAGTTTGCCTGTCAGGGGTTAAATAATAAAAATACTTAAATATTTATGAAAAACATACGCTCTAGCGAGAAAAAGTTGCAATTTCTTGAGACATAGTCACTTTAAATCAATTTAAAAAATTTAATATAAGACAAATTGAAAGTTCAGATTTGAGAACATTTTTAAATATACTAATAAATGGAGAGCCGGTTTTTTTGTCCGGTTATAATGCGAAAATTACTGAACCGATCGGAATAATACTTATACCATAAGATGCAGCATGTTTCGGAGAAGGTTTTAGTATATGATATGTTGGTGATTACTTATTCAGAACCTATATTTTTTTGACTTAAAAATAATGAATTTTTATTGTAACTAAAGTTATTCTATTTGATTGTCATTTGTTTAAAATAAATTTTTTAATTCTATTGGTTATGTTTATATACTAGGCAGATTTCTTCACTTATGAGACCTGCAATTTCTTTAACTGAAACTTTCAATGCTCATATTACAAAATTTTTTTTTTCATATCAATTATTATTCATTTTTGTAAGAAAGAGACGTGAATGTTATAATGATTGCACATTGAAAGTTACAATCAATATTAGCTAGAATAATTACATGGATAAAAGGTGCACGCCAATTCGATAGAATTTGGAATCTGTGCAAGTCAAAACAATACTCTAATTAAATTTCAAGTCTAGGTCTAAAAATGCAATTCTATTAAGCGCCCAGCGGAGCGGGCAAGTAATAGCTAGTTAATTATAAATCAAATTGAAATTTTATTATTAATATTTAATAATAAGAAGCCACAATTTAATCTAAATAATAAATTCAATAATTACTCAGCTTCCTTAAAAAATCCTAATGCTTAAACCTCGATTATTTTTTATTGTCCGCGATTTCTGACTCATGGAAAAATTTTCAAAGATAAGTTTGATAAACATATTTAATGTCTCGCACGATTTCGTGACAAATTTTAATTTTCTTTTGACTAATCCCAAACGTACACGGTTGGAAATATTTCCACCACCCTATATTTGGTGCACCTACATAGGAGCAGTTTTTGATATATAAGCAACCGTGCTCTAAAACGCTTACAAAAAAAAATACTGACAAGTAATTGTTTATATTTACTTACAATTATTTTGACTAAAGATGAAGTTCTTTGCCGTGATTTTGATGACCACTCTTGTGTGCTTCATACATGCAAGTAAGGTCGACGAATCATGCAGTAGCCATAAAGAATGTGGACAAATGGACTTAGGATGTTTTGACGGAAAGTGCCAATGGATCCAGAACTACTTGTCCAATAAAGATGTCAGCGGTTCCTACCACGCCAAAAGTAAGTCTAATATAATTTCGTTATAACATTCAGAGTACTTACAATATTAACCATATTTTTATATTTATCAGATTTGGGTGATCCCTGTACTACGTATCAACACTGTAGCCGTGTACCTACTGATGCTGACAATGAAATAATCTGCTACAGTATGGCATGCATTTCACGAAAGAAAAGAGAGTAAAAATTTGATATTTTAAAATGGGACTGTATGAAATAAATATTCAATAGATTACAGTTAAATATCTCACCAAATTGCAACAAAGAGTTCAATTATTCCAAAATTATTTATTTTTAAGTTTTTTGATGATAAATTTTAACGTAAAAAATAAATAATATGGCAATTTTTTGGATTTCTTAACAAATAAATTAATATAGCGAGAATTTATTAAAAAATTCTATTCATAAAAATTAAAAATAAAGTTGATGCAATTTTTTAATAAACATTAAAATTTATTTGACATATCAAATTAAGTATAAAGATTAGATTCATTTTTTAAATATTTAAATGCGCATTTTGTAATTTTTAAATAAATAATAATTATTATTTTATTTTTAATTAAAAGAAATGAAGAACTTACTCGGCGGAGTTTTTTTTTATCAATAATGAAATTAAAATTTTTTCTTGGAGTGAATTCACTCCGAAAAAAATAAATCAATTAAGAATCATCTACTCCGCAAAGTTGTTACTGTACAATTCTGCCAAATTTTGGAATTTTTCAAATAGAAATTAACATTCAGGAATTCTCTCAATAGCGCAATTAACGAAAAGTAAGTCATTTTGTAAACCTTAAAATGTTATTGTAACTTGATTTTATCATCGTAATTTTTTAATAATACAAGGGTATATTTTTTGTCGTCATAAGAACCCGAGTCGAAAAATTTAAACTGATTTTAAGTTAAATGATCTGCATTTGAACTTATTGATCTGTATTTGAACTTTAAAAAACATTTTTATCGGTATTTGATCTACTATTAAAATTATTTTTGATCTGTTTTAAGTCTAAATAACCTTTTAGTAAAATCATTGAGCAGCTATGAATATTTTATGCTGTTTCTAATCTAATAAGACTAAAAAGTTTTAAAAGTTTGATCGGTTTTTAGTCTAATTAATTTGTAGATGGACTTTATGTATTGTTTTCAAACTCAATCTGAAATCTTATACTGTTTTTGATCTAAAATTTTCACTCTAAATGTTCGAAGGCCAAAAGTCGACTAAGATGGCGACTTATAATTTTTTTAACTCAAAAGTATCTCATTAAAAATTATAAGTCGCATTTATTTGAAAAAATAAATTAATTTAAAATATATTCATGCGCTCTCTTGTTTTATGAACTGAATGTCGATTATAACCTTACATCTGTCATATTTATTTGTCATAGCTTAGCATTTCATGGATTATAAAAGTTTTGTAACTGCGAGTATTAGTTGCAGTGATAACTAATAAATTTGTATTAACATACGTATATAAAATAGTTCTCATCGTTTGATTATGGATCGAAATCTAGAGTTTTCTAATTATCGATATTAAACACAATACATCGACAAGATTAAAATGCTGACAAGATGACAAGGTTAATATTAAATTTTATACTTTCACGCATCATTTAATGAGCGGTATTCTCTATTTGGTAGTGCAAAGAATCCGTTTGGTGTACATTGCACTACGAAATAGTGAATGGTCACTATTTCAGTTTCAGAGAATGAAAAGCCGTGCCCTGTAGAGGATCTTCGAGGACATGAATAAAATAATAATAAATAAATATATTACTATTATTATTATTATTATTATTATTCCCGTGTAAAAAAAAATCGTCTTAAAATTGTCTTAAAATTGTCGTTCGTTTATCTTAAACGTGACACAAACTAAGACTATTTTAAGATTCTTTTAAGATGGCAAAAAAAAAAATTCCGAGATTTTTTAATAATTATTTTGATTTTTTTAAGACTATTTTAAGATTTTTTCAAGACGATTTTAAGATTTTTCTAAGACTATTTTAAGATTTAAGCTTTAAAATAATTTTTATATAGTCTTGAAAAATCTTAAAATAGTCTTAGAGAAATCTGAAAAAAAAATATTAAAAAATTTTTAGGCTATTTTCAGATAACATCACAGTGGCAGCTCCGGAAAATTATTATGGAGCGTCTTTAAATTGTCTCAAAATTATCTTAAATTAGTCTTAAAAAAATCTTAACAAAAAATTTAGACTATTTTAAGATAGGTTAACAGCGACAGAGCCCCGGAACATTAAAACGGAACGTCTTAAAAAAGTCTTAAAATTGTCAGATAATAATTTCTTAACAATTTTAAATTCAATTTAAAAACATCTTACTCAAAAAAATTGCGGTTAGAAAGTCGTAAAATCATCTAAAAATTAATTTTCACAACAAATTCGAAAACAAAATTTTCAAAAATCTGCTCTCGGAATTTTCCTTTTGGCGTCTTAAAAGAGTCTTAAAATAGTCTTAGTTTGTATCACGTTTAAGATCTTAAACGAACGACAATTTTAAGACAATATTAAGACGATTTTTTTTTACACACATACGTATGTCATAATAAAATTTTTTTATAGACAACAGTAAGATCATGTAAAAATAAAGTTATCACCGAGACTAATTTCCATGCAAATGAACACCTCTTCCAAAAAAAACCGAGGTTAAAACAACTCTAGTAATTATATTCAAAAAACTGCAAAGCATACAATATTTGCAATACTTTTTTTCAATACTGTTATATATATATAACTTCAATTATTTTTATTTTTTTAAATTAAGAATAGAAATTTTTGTTTCTTTTTACTTAACTTAAGCGCATTTATAAATACAAACAATATTTTTAATAAAAATGCTCTTTTATCAAACCTTAATTTTCCTCCGAAACACAACAACACAAATTCTTATCAATTATCGACTCCTTACTCAAAATACAACAGTAAAATTATTCACTTAAAACTTTTTTAACACGGGCCCAAACACATAGTCATTTCTACCTGATAACATCGGATGAATTTAAAGCTCATCCTTACTTAGGCCCTCTTCATCTCCTTTTTTTGCTTCAACTTTTTCATCTTCTTCTTCTTCTTCTTTCGCGCCTTCAACGCCATCTGAGTCAATGAATTTGGACATGCCTTCAACTGTTCGGTTGCCTTCGAAATATATTACCTGCAACGAATTTATTCAAATTTGTAATAAAAGTTTCTTATAATTTAACGGTACTGACACTATTTCCAAACTTGAACTTACTTCATTGGTTCCCTTCTTGAACAAAACAAGAGTCGGGTAACCCTGGATGTCAATGTCTTCTAGTTCATTGGCCGTGGCGTCTAATTTTGCGATGACAACCTTCTTGTCGTTTTTGTATTTTTCTGCAAGCTGAAAAAATAACCAAAATTTTGATAAAAAGTCAACAAAATTTTAAAAAATTATTATTTTATGTATAAGCTTAAGACTTAAGTTAGGTAAAATAACGACTTTGTCGAAATATAAATTCTTATTTTCAAAATTTACATGCTTCGCATCGCACTTTTCGGTTTTCTTATAACGAATAACATAGGAAAATTTTTTTTTGCTGTTTCTAATTTTTGTAACTTACTAATTAAAGGTCATACGGGGAATGTAAAATTATGTCGTCGAGAATCGAAGGCTCTATAAAAAAGTATCTTATTATAAGTTTTTGATAAATTGAATCTTTCAAAAGTTATTTAAGATCAAAATTTAACGTAAACAAATTTTTGGAGTTCTTTAACTTTTTTAGCGAATATTTCCGACTCATTCCAAAATATTGCTCTAAGTAATATTTTTAAAAATTTTTCTAAAATTTTGCCAAAAAGTTTGGTTTCAGAGACTTTTCGTTTTTTTGGACAGTTTTTTTTTGTGCTTAAGTTAAGTTTTTTTGGGTTTTAAAAATGATATCAAATTTTAATCAAATCCTATATGTGATCTTAACGGGCTTGAAAAAGTTGAAAAAACTTATTTTTTAATTTTGAAGAAATTATTAACTTCATCAAATTTTCAAATCAATGTAAATATAAAATTTTCAAAAAAGTATTTTATTTTTTTTTTAACAACTTTTAAATTTCTCATCAGGTCATTTTTCAAGTAATGTTATCTCTACATTATTCAAAACTTGCATTTAACCCTTCAGTACCCACGCTATGAGAATTTTACTTACGCAACAACATTCAACTTATAGGATGTCGCTGCAGTGCTAGTGAGACACTAAAAAGAACGTGGATACTGAAGGGTTAACACTGCAAGCTACCCCAAAATTGGTTGATGTGTTAAGAAATTTTCAAAAAAGGGCTCTATCAATCCAACTACCAGATTTTTGAGGATGAAGAGTTCAAAAATACCTAAAAGTTTTATTTGTAAGCTCTAAGAGCTCCAAAATTTGCAATAGACAAATTTTCAAGTTGAAAATGAAAATTACCTCATCATAAATAGGAGCAAGTTGTTTGCAATGTCCACACCAGGGTGCGTAGAATTCAACCAAAACATGCTTGGATTTGTCCATGGCAATTTTCTTGAAGTTCTTGCCAGTGAGTACTTTGACAGGCTTAGCATCCCAATCTTCAGGAACATCTTCAGCGGATAAGTATCTCTTTACCTCACCCTTAAAGTACTTGCTGGCAAAGTCATAGATGTTTTTGTCCTTCAGTTCCGGGTTTTCTGGCTTGTATTTGTGGATTCCCTTGTCTAATACCTTGATGATTCTCATGGCTGGTACGTCCTTCATTTTGAGTCCAATGAAATCTAGCATTTGAGCTTGCTCTGGTTCATCGACATTGAAAGTAACTACCATCATCTTTCCGCGGTATTTCTTGGCAGTTTTCGTAAATTCTTCTGCGTAATTATCGTAGTCACCGTCGTCTTCGCTGAGGAACGCTACGAGGAAATCTTTATTGCTGCCCCCAAAAACTTTAGGACCAATTTTTTCATCGTAATCAACGATAAGAGGAATAGAGCTGGCTTCAATGAATTCCTCCAATTTTTTGGCGTCCATTTTCTTCTTGTAGACGTTTTGGCGTTCATCGAAGTTCTTGAAGAGGATAACTTGCCCGTCTTCAGCCTTGAACTCCTTGAATACACTTTCGGTGTTGGTGAAACCGAACCCGTAGTCACCGTTAGCGTTTGCAACGTGCCAGAAAGTTTCGGCTTCTTTGCTTTCAAAGTCTTTGAAGAATCCTATGATGGCTATTTCATGCTTGTTGATGAATTTCTTGGCTCCTCTTATGGACTTTATTTCTTCCGCTGGGGGAGTCGCTTTCTTTGTCAACCAATTTAATACGGCGCTGACCTCTAGGTTGCCCTGGTACTTGATGGGAACGCCATCGCGGAAAAGTTTCAGGGTAGGGTAGCTTTGAATATCTTGCATCTGAGCAAGCTCGGGTTCTTCGGTCGTGTCAACTTTTCCTAATTTCACGTCGAGCTCTGTCTCCTTGAGTGCTTTTGCGAGTTCGACGTATTGTGGAGCGAATTTCGTGCAAGATCCACACCATGGTGCATCTGGAATTAAGTTTTGATATTGAATTTTCATGCAATCAAGGTTATTGTATTAATAATTTTCTTTCTTTCATTATTAAATGTAAAAATTTTAATTAACAATACTGATAAAAATTTTGAACCAAAAAAATTTAGTGGTTCAAAAATGGTTTATTCAATTTAAGATAATCCAAGATTTTTCCTATGAATTATTAATTTTTCTATCAGTGTGTAATTTTTCATCAATTTTTTTTCCTGTTATTAATTTTTTAATTTTATAAAATGTCTTTGTTAGAATTAAATGCTTAATAACTTTATCACAAAGCAATTAACACTTACTTAGAATTTTCCAACATTTTTTATTATTTTTTTATCGATACTTTTAATGACGTCTTTGTTATTAATGACTATTGATAAAAATAATTAAAATAGTTTATAAAACCCGAATTTTTTGACAATTTCCAACTCGCAATAGATGTTAATTTTCAACAAAATACTATTAATTGAATATTGCTGATTAAAATTTTTATTTAAGTGATCTTTCGTCCTTTTACTATAGCTTCTTATGTTAATAAATATTGGATTTGAAAAAAAAAAAAAAAAAAACACTAGACATAATTAAATTAAATTGTATAAATAATTATTTTTGACATTATTATTAGTAAGCTGTTGAACTTCAATTCAGAAAAGTTTCTATTTGTGCTAAAAAGAAATCAAAAAAAGTTTCTTTTATAAAAATCAATTCATTATCTACTATAACTATAGTATTTTTGTTTAAGCTACGCAAATAATATTTATTTGGACGACTGCTATCTACAAATGTCAAAAAAATCACCTATAAAAATTTAAACTCAGAGAATTTGCTAATTAAAAGGTCGATATAAATATAAATACTTTGTAACAATACTCACAAAATTCAATGAGCACATACGTGTCTTCGATAACTTCTTCAAAGTTATCTTTAGTAACTATCATAATTCCATCTTCTTCCTTGATTTTTGCGCTCGATCCGGCGACACATAATGCCGTAACAAACAATATTTTAAGTAGTTCCATACTTGTAGACTAAAAAAAAATAAAACTCAAATTATAAAACAAAAAAATGAATTTTGACGTTCAAAAAATGTTTAAAAATAATTTAAACTAACCAGATGCTCAAAAACGCTTTGAATTCAATTTAATATTTAAATCAATTCGTAATTCGCAATGATCGAACTTTTATTATACTCATACACTTGGACAAATACCGAGCCGGGGAATGAAGGAATGAGACAACGTAGCAATCAATATATATATCCTATGCACTTGTTGGAATACGTACACGGCAAAAGATCACTAACGCGTGGCAAGTTATATGCTTATCGTGGTAATTTCCGATTGGCTGGCTACTACAGCTACGAAGACACTTGAAAACAATAGCAATTGTAATAATAATAATGATGATAACTATTATAATAATAATTATACACAACTATTGATAAACGCAAAACTAGACTAAAAATTGATAAAATTTATGTATTGTTGTTTGTTTAAATTGCAAGGCGAACTATTTATCGGCGATATTTTTTAATGTTCAATGTAAGTAAAGAACAAAATTTTTTTAGTAAATAAAACAATAGTTATGAAAAAATATTTATTAATATATACATGCATTTTTATATTTTTAAATTCAATGTCAGATTATAATTATCAAATCGAGTTTTCCGATAATTAAATGTGAGTTTGAAGATAGAATTTACATACATGTACTATCTGTGTGATAAACAACAATTAGCTGAGAGAAAGGAGGATAGGTTTTCTCTAAAGGTCACTGCCATAAGTCATATGTTATAAGTTATAATAATGAATTCCTAATCTGGTATGATTAGTATATTATTAATTTCTAATTATTTAGAGCGATTTCATTTGATAAACTCTGGCCTTGCGTCAAGCCTTAGATATTACTAATGTAGTATGATCGCGCATTTGTTTCAATGTATACATATCATATATATATACAAAACAAGTTAAGAAGCAATTACTTGAACTAACTGGGACTTGGTGGGGGTAATTTAGTGTCACTATGTTTTAGTTACTTTTATCGAGTTCTAGATCTCCACATTTTTTTTTTCAACTATTTTTAACTTCCCGCTAAAAATCTCAGATTTTCAAAAATCGGGAATTTATTGTTTTCACCCCGTTTTACAAAAATCGAGTTTTCATCAGATCTCGACGTTTGAAGGTCACAGGAAACTTCCCTGACTATTTTTACGATGATGTCCGTACGTCTGTGTGTGTGTGTGTGTGTGTATGTGTGTGTGTGTGTGTGTGTGTGTGTGTGTGTGTGTGTGTATGTATGTATGTATGTATGTAAACCTCTTGTAACTTTTGAACGACTTGACCGATTTCATCGCGGTTGGTGCCATTCGAAAGAGCTTCACTAAACTTAAATTTCCTGAAAATTTGAACCGATTCGGACCGGTAGATTTCGAGAAAATCCAAAAAAAGTGAAAAAAAAGTTGTTTTTTTTTATTTTTTTTAAATATCTCTGAATTGGCTGAACCGATCGGTCTCAAAAACTAATCAGCTCTTAACCTTGAAAACCCCCATCGATTGCCACCAAAAACGTAAGAATCGGTTGATGCATTCGTGAGATATCGTTGTCGAAAAAAATCGAAAAAAGTGTTTTTTGTAATAACTTCGAAAGGGATGGCCTTTAGGGTGAACCGTTTTTCTAAGTTTTTTTTTTTTTTAAATGAGTTATCAAGGATACTTTTTATTTTGACAACTTTACCCTAGTGTCTTAACCAAAATCATCAAGACAATGAATAGGTGATTTATTTTACAGCAAACATTTTACATTAAATGCAAACCATTAATAAAACGATCACAAATATTAATTTTTATATACATTAAATTATCTGATGTAATAATCTAATGCTTTCAGGCGTTTTTAATTATTCTAAAAAATTTTTAAATAAATATAGTATAGTTTAGAAAAATAAAAAAGACGTTTTTATTGTAGACCAAATTCAAAAGTAGAAAATAATTTAGAATAATTTCCAATAAGTTTAAAATCATATATAAGTGATTAAATAATAGAGAGATTAACAAAAAAATTCATTTTGTTGCAAAAAAAATCGTACAGTGCTTTTTGAGATATTTTTGTAATAACTTGAATTTTACAAATATTTAACAGTAAAAAAATTATAATAATTTCATCAAATATTTCACGCTGATTTTTACAATAAAATCAATTATATTGTCAATCATCTTTATTTTAATATTTTTTTAAAATCGGTAAAAATTATATTCTACTTTTTATTTTTTAATTATAGCGTGCTTTGTAGTTTTTTGACATCGGACAATTTTTTTTTTTTTTTCATTATGAATCCATAATAAGAAAAATATAATTTAAGAGAATTAGAACTGTAAATTTTTTTAATCTTTAAACGTGAAATTTTTTCTATAAAATTTTTTCATAATAATTTAATTATAAATATCCAAAAAATTGACAGATGTCTGTTAGTTTCAGTATCATTTTTATTTTCTTTATCCTCAAGTTTTATTTTCTTAATTCCATTCATGAATTTATTTAATCAATTAAATAGAGTCAATTTTTAAAGAAAATATTTTCCATGAATCAAGTAGTTTTTTTCAGAGTAAAAATTATTACTGGAAATATATGAAGTGTACAATCATAATATTTGAAAAAATGAACCACAGAAAAAGTTTATACTACATTAGTGACGGTACTTGTGTCTGTCAAAAAAAATTCAAATTTTGGTGATATTTGAAGAACACTAGTTAACATTGTATAGCGAAAGAGATGTCGAGATACACAATACAGACGTTGTAACGTAAAAGTAAAGGAAAAGAGACTATAGTAGTGTAAAGGAAAAGAGACCACTGGTTTTCATCCGTTAATCCAAGAATTTGTAAGCCGTGAAATGTGTCCTCTTAAATATCATTATCCACTAGACTAGAGAGTGTTGGCGGGCGCTTGAAGGTTTTTAGCTCAAGAGTAACCACACAGCGACAACTCGTGCTAGGTTTTTGTCAACCCCGGAATCATGAAAAAAGATATAAGCCGTGCTAGATCTGAGTGTAGAGACCGCGGCAAGATAATCGCTTCTTCAAAATGGGAAACACGCGCTGGCTATTTGCCAAAGCCGGGTATTTTATTATCCGTATAGAATAGCCAAAAGCGATTATAGAATGCGAGAGGCGCCAGGTGCGACGTTTACTCCAATATTCAAACCAATATCTACTAAAATATTTTTTCGAGCTGGAGAACTAATGCCGTGTAGTTATTTCCTGACGATAAGATTAGTCTGTTCTGGCACTAGCGCTAGCACCCTCTCGCTTTATTCTTTGTTGTGAAAAGCCATCGACATATTTTTGTTATGCTTAACATTAGCAGCCCTTTTTTGGTCTTTAGCGCTTATACTTGTACTTCCGATTCTTTCATCACATTCTAAAACTTTTTGAGGATTTCCGCGCGAACGCTTTCAAATATTTACTATCCTTCAGTTTTCAAGTTTTCTTCAACTAATAATAAAATTTATAGCCATATTTTTATATTTTTAGAATATCTTCTTGATGTCTACACGGAAAGAACAATAACTCACTGTACATACTCATAAAGTATACTCCGTAGTATTCATAGTGAAAAAAATTTCAAACTATAGTCAATATCTTTTAAAGTATACTGCATGAGTTTTGGACTGTACTCCGTGAAGTTTCCTATTTAACGGAGTATACTTTAAAGGATATTGACTATAGTTTGAAATTTTTTTTACTATGAATACCACCCAGTGAGTTGTTGTTCTTTCCGTGTATATGTGCATTAAAAAATTATTTCACGAGTATGCTCAAGATTAAAAGCTACTTTTTGGCCCTTTATATTGTCTCTAAATTTTGGATCAATTTCTTTTTGATTTCCACGCAGACGCTCTTAAAATTGTATTTTTGACTCCTTAGTTTTCAATTTTCTTTAATTAATCATTAAAATTTATCCCAAAAAATTTCACACAATAACTCAATTTAAAAGCAGCCAAAACACAGGTGGCCGAAACCGGTACTTTCACCCTAATCCTTCCTCGTTATAAATAAAAAATCTGACATTTCAACAACTAAATAATTCACAAGAACAAGATAACTTCACTATTTATAATATCCACATCTTCACCTTCCTAGTTTTTAAGGAAATGAATCTATTTTTATCTTTAAGATCTCCGAACATCCGGCTAAATCAAACAGGTTGTGTGACCGAATTAAAATGTTATATTTAACAGTCTATTATTAAATGATAATTTAATAATTACATCAACAGGATTATTCAGCCAGTATAATTATGTCACCATCTAGTTTAATCTTAAAATTTTTCCCCGCAATCGTCCTTAAATAACTCTTTAGCATAATTTTATATTTAACATATCCCACGTTTTTAACTCATGGACGCCGAATTCTTTTCAAGTCGACAATCACTAAAAATATAAATAAAAAATAGCAGATAGAGATAGCAAAGGGTGACGTGAATTTCTCTATTCATTTTCAACGGTCATATATTTCATATTATATATTTATTTATATATATGTTGTAACTTACAACTTATAAATATAAATAGGATAATAATTAGCATCGCACATTATTATCGGCTGCTCCCGTAAATGTGCGATAATAAAGAAAATAAATAACAATAACGATAATAATGATAATGATAATAACCCAACCATATTCATATCCCTACATAATAAAATACATGATCTTGTTTTGCTGAAAGGCATACGTGTAAAGATTGCGTGCCCCGTGAACATTTAGCATTAATTGCGTATCGGTTTTGGCAGGTGGTCGCCTCTCTACCATATCTGATTAACATTTTCACTCGGTGACTCTGTCCTGTATCATCACTAGCACTAAGGATGAATAATGATTAACTCCAGCTCAGTGTGCCTGTATTTAATACTCTGCCGTGTCTTCTATCTTCGTCACATCGACCCAAAGAATATAAATATAAATATAAATACATATTTAAGACACTTTTATTCTGGGAATAAGAGCAATCACAAGTCGT